TGTTGACGAATTTGAAAGACTTCTATAGATGTTCGAGTCAATTTACTAAAATCATAGAATAATATTATTTCACAATATATATTATTTATTCTATTCAACGACATTTATATGCATATAATATAATAATCAATATAGATAACATAAAATACAATAAAAATTCGAAAAAATTCGAAATAAAATTTAAAAGGAAAAATAGTCTAATCTACTAAATAGTTCAATTGCAATAAAAACGATAAAATTTGCATGAATAATTGTCATTATATACAGTCATTAATATAATATACAGAGATATAAAATAGTATTATTTAAATTTATGACGACTATTTTGTTTTTTTTGAAGCTGATCTTGTGGGTTGTTTTCTTGTACCGATCGATTTTTTTGTCGATGTTGTTGCTTGCCGTTTTGTACGTTTTGTTGGTGTTGTTTTGACAGGTGTTGAAGATTGTTTTCTTTTTCGTGATGCTGATACTGATGTTTGATCATTTGTTTGAGCACCTGTTTGTTTTTTAATAGTATATCTATGTTTAAGTTTTTCTTGTGTTTTTTTGTCGACATATTTTTGTGCTTCTGATTGAGTTGAAAAATCTTTATATAAAATAATTGCATTAGAATCTGCTTCACCTAATAAACCATATTTCGTTTTTGTTGTTTTATTATCAATAGAAATTTGCCAATATTTTTTTTCTTCATCATGTTCTAAATAAGTTGTATTAGCTGTTGTTGATGTTTCAGATAATTTTCCTTGAATTTGTTCTTCATAACCAAAAAGTTTTTTTAATCTATCTCGATCTTTCTTTTTTAATTCATTAAAACCTTGAAGATCTTTTTCAACATTTTGCACACGTTTTTTATTTTCATTTCCTGAACGTAAATAATTTATAAAACATTGAACATGATAATAAACAGGCATTAATTGTTCTTCACGTGTTGATGACTGAGGAATAAATGGATTTGGTATTAAACGAAATAGACGAAGTGTTCCTTTCGATATTTCATTATCACAAGATTTACCATGGCATCGAGCATTACTACTTTTGGCATAGTCACAACCAAAGGCTACTGTAACACTTTCATCGTCATCACCAGTAGTAGAAGCCATTAGTTTGTTTGTTTTTTTATTTGAAAAATACTATCTAAAATTTTAAAAAGAAAAAAATATGCATGTTTTTATATTAAATGGCTAACTAATTCGGCTTTCCTTCCGTATTATTATAATAATACTATTCTTAAGATACAACCCGCTTAGTTTTGTTTCTAAAAGTAATCATACAAAACAAAATCCCAAAAAATAGGAAAATTAACACAAGCTCAACTGTCAAATGAATTTAACTGACATATATTTACCATTTTTGTCCTTCAACAACCTGTCGAAGTAATCCGATGGATGACCAATCAGAAAGTCACATCACGGTGTTAGATAAACATGTTAATTTATACTGTAGGGTGCGCTAGTCATTCAAATGTAGTACGTTTATTGCATTGCTGGCATCATAATGTTTGAATGCTGAGAGCATAAATATTTGATACAGCAACGTAATTTGTCTTCACAGCCAGTATATATATGAGAAAACAAATATAACATTTTAAGGTACCCGAATTCCATACTCAGATATGATGATTTTCATCAGAAACAATTCGACATATCGATCAATGGTTTTCAGCGTTCTACTCGCTTTAAAATTGTACAGATGACGATGCATCTCTATAGTACTTCTCCTTGTAGAAGAAATTTCAATTAGATCAACTTATGCCCTCAACTATATTATTTTTTAGTTTAATGCATAGTTAGGTAGTTTTGTTTATGCTGACTGGATACATCTATCTGCTCAGTTGTTTTCTAGATTCAATCAGACACGTCTGTCTATTTCTATTCTTTTCAATATTTATCAGTAATCGTAGTGATGACATGCATTTGTGGAACTGTAAACATCGATTTCCGATTTTTATTGAATCTCAATGAAGTTATTGCACTCACGCTTAATGTATGCACTCGAGATCAGAATAAAACACCATGATTGTTTCGTTCAAGAATTAGGTTTGTATTTACTATTTAATAAAGCATGCATCAGTCATTTTGTGATTACGATTCAGTCAATTTATTCTGTAGTTTGACAAAAGTTGTCTTTGTAACATGATGAGATTCGGTCATCAATAGATTCTGCCAACATTTTTTGTGGCACGCTATCCAGCTTAGCGCAGTAGTGTAAAACTTGAATTTAGTTGAAATTTTAACTTTCAAGTTTCAACGTTGAAGTTTCGAGGTATTCTAGTGGGAGCATTAAACACTTCAATTTCTTTCATATCAACGAAGACACACACTGTAATCCATTTCGCGACATCCATACTGAGAGATGTGGTAATGATCTTTTCGTGGTATTCTCACCGAAAGACATGTGGAGAGTGTCCTTTTGTAGTTGAAACTTGAAGTTCCAAATGAATTCAAGTTTTCAGTTTAACATATATGTGCTTTCAATGATTAATCATCTTGTCTATAGATGCAAAGCCGAAAAAGAGACAAAGAAAACAAGAAACCAAACTGAAACATGAAAAGCCGTTAAAGGAAAAGTAAGTAACAACTCGATAGAAATGTAAGTTTTTTTGCTCTATCTTATTCCCTAGAATGAAAGGATAGGGTCTAGAAACAGAAATCCACGTGTGTCTCTCTGTAACATAATTAACATGTGGTAACTACGGTCTAAATAATCATACTAAGCATGGCATAGCTGGCCACCTGGTAACTAGTGGCGTATCTAGATGTGGTTAGAGGATGCTCAGCCTTTGCTACAAAAATTTCTATCCTTGCAACTTTGCTAATTAATACACTTATTATTTGCAGAATGCAGCGTGGTTTATTTTATTTCTATTTTGCTAGTGGTTAGGTAGGTGCAAAACCAACATCATTCAAAAATGGGTGACCTTCAAAAGTACAGTAAGCGTGCTTACCGAATGGAGTATTATAATGCGTCGGCTGGTGATGCAATGCTTTATGTGTGGCTTTGATAACATGAAACTATTACATTTTTCTATTTATCGACACGTATATTTCTCGGCGTAAGAGTATAATACACTGAGAATTTCAACTTTAATTAAAACGATAGAGTGTAAAAATTGATTCTTTGTGTTTTTCATTTTTTTTTGAACATTTCTATTACAGTCGAGTAAGAGTTATTAAAAAGGTACGATTGATAGAAATATTAAAACTTATTAAGTGTTAATAAGAGTATGAAAAGATGTTCTTATCATTGTAAGTTAGTGAAGGCAGCAATTAAAGTTTGGACTATCATAGATGGATTCAATAGCAATGGAGACGAAATAAAAAATTCGGTGAAAGCAAATATACTTTTTTGCAAAATTTTATCAATTTTTTCACTTTCCAAAATATTACCGTGACCATGATTTGATCTATTTTTTTAATAAAATATATGATCACATTTACCATTATGAAATATGAATAGCAACAGTACAGTTATGGATTTATGCTTAGAATAACAAAAAAATTAGTACTCACCGAAAAAAGAAATTAATCAGATTAATTTTTTGCTTTTCATTTCATCTCATCTACTTTTAAATAACTTCATAAATGCGCATGTGAGAAGATGTTGTCTGCATGTTCATAAATAAATAATTATTTGATGAATACTCTTCAAAATCTCTATTTGGAGTCCAAATAAGGATTACTTTGGTCGCCCTGTGTTTCATGCAATATCATATGATTAGCCTGAAGCCTATGTTAACTTTAATCATCGACAAATGATTGTAAAATATTTGCATTGCCTTTATATTTTTCTTATTGATAGTTGAAACTCTATGTAAAAAAAGTGAACAAAAATTACTTTTAAATCCTTTTAATATTAATGAAATAGTTTTTTTAATAGTGTGATAATTGAAACTTAATTCAATTATTGAAGTCATTTTCAAATATGTCAGTATTCAAATTATTTCATGGCATCAACCAATGATACACATTACTGTGTAAACAGATACGAGTATGAGACACAGCTCTTAAGGCGGTGCTCACACCTTCAGGCTGCGACGTCGATATACAAGGTTATTTATATGGACAAAGGATATTAGCCTCATCTTTCTCCCTCTTCCGCTCATTAAGAATTCTGCTTTAAAGAGTTTTGCTTGCGATCCCCTTCCTTCAGTGTTCTACTTATAATTCCTTCATCTTAAAGAGCTTTACTCATCTCCAAATATTCAACAATTGAATAGTTGACACTAACTTCATTAATTGAATTCAAGTTTTAATTATTACTTAGCGTTGACCAAAAGTTCTGAGAACATTAAAAAAATATAAAGTTAGAGAGATATTTTTCATTTTACTTAATTAAATGTTTAACATAGTTGCCATGATTATTAATGCAAAGTTCCATAGTTTCTAACAATTTGCCAAAATGTTATTTAAAACTGGTTTTCTGGTATATTTTTAACTATTTTGGAAATCGTACGAGCCAATGAGTTTTCATCAGTTAAATTACATTTGATGTAATCATTTAACCAAAAATCACATGGTACATGGTCTGTTGAAAACAGCAGATGCAGCATTATATTGATATCTTCTTGTGTTAAATAATTAATAACAGCTGGATGAGTATGAGGTCAAGCATTATCATGAAGCAATTTTTTACCTTTTCCACCTGATAACGTTTTTTGTTTCCATCTTTCATTCACTACAGGCTTGAGACAATTTTCAATATAGTAGTTATGGTCTATTGTCTCGCCTTTATCTACATGATGTATAAGAGCTGAATCATTTGATTTAAAGAATATAGAAACTGAAGTGTATGAGTTCAAATTTACTGTGACGAGTAATAGTCATTGGTGATTTACCTTCAGTAATCCAGCTTGTATTAGTAGATTTGCTTCCAACCTGTCTATAGTAAACGTATATCTCATCACCTGTAGTAATGTTTAAGTGCGGGAAATGCAAAATTCGAATGGATTTCTTTCTCATTTATTTATAAATGCTATGATAGAGCTTGATGAGCTGGTCACGAATATATAGTTTTCATTTCGATTCGACCAGTGTTTGACTAAAAAAATATTAAAAACTTCAAGAACACTAATGCAGCATTTTCAATTATGAAATCTGATTTTTCACAGAAATTGTCAAATTTCAATTACGTCATTTTTTGAATAGGTGGTTAAATGTCGAAAGAGAAAACGTCGAAAGACAAAATGTAGAAAAACAGGACGTAGAAAAGCAGATTGTAGAAAAAAAAAATGTCGAAAGTGAAAATGTCGAAAGAAAAATGGCGAAAATGAAAATGTCGAAAGGTAAAAATGGCGAAAAGCGTATTGACGAAAAATAAAACGTCGAAAGAAAAAATGGCGAAAAGAGAAAAATGAAATAAAGAGACATCCATGACGTCTTCAAACAAATTTCTATCAACTGACGATGCATTGACTCGCTAAGCGAATCTAACGATATTGATTAATTATTGAATTGCATATATATATATAGCAGCTTGCGTCCATTTCTACAGACATTTATCAAGTTTTTTTCTATATTCTTTGCTTATGTCAACATGAGTACTACATCTATCATAACTTTTTCACAAAGTAACGAAGGCAAACGTGTGATTATTTGTGATGGATTTGTATATCAGTTAAACAAGTCATGTCCCAAGGTCAAATATTGGTGTTGTGAAAAACGTCTTGATGTCTTATGCAGACATTTTTCAAATAATGAAATTGATTTGAATGAACACCTCGAAGGTTTGTCGATGGTCGTCGCAAAAGATATGAACAAAAAAAAATGAATTGAAAATAGCTTTTTCAATATTATATTCAACTGCCAAGTTCTGTTTCTTAATTTATTCATTGTCTCTTTTTCTTCTCTTAAAATAGTTATCCTTATTGTCAAATTTTGTTATCTTAATCTATTCATATAATGTTTCTTCATCTCTCTTTTTTTGGAATAGTTTTTGACTTGTGCTTTATTTGCTAAAATTCTTGTCAATAAAAGAGATGACTAAATATACGCTATTAGTGTTTTCGACATTTTCGCTTTCGACATTTTCACTTTCGACATTTTGTTTTTCTACATTCACAACTTTCGACATTTTTTTCGTTCGACATCCTACCTTTCGACATTTTTACTTTCGGCATTTTTTTTTCGACATTTTCACTTTCGACATTTTCCCTTCGACATTTTACCACTTTACCCATTTTTTCAAACTTCATGAAATCATTTTATTCTCATTCAACATCAAAAACTGAGTAGAAAAATGTTAGTTGATAAGAGTTACAGTTGATAATATTAAAAAAAGGTCGATTCAGTATAAATAGCTTCAACATACCTCATATCATTGTATGATGAGTATTTTGTCAACCTATCTAGTTTTTTGTAACAAGAAATAGAAACAAGTGTTTTGGTAATCTGAACTTTGGTAGAAAGTAAAAATGTCGAAAAAAAAGTGATGCAAATGTCGAACTGTAAAAATGTCGAAAAGTACAAATATCGAAGTATAAAAACGTCGAAAGTAAAAATATTAGAGGACAAAAAATATCAAAGCAGATTTAGATGTTTTTACTAAGCGTATAAAATAAGCAACAGTTAAATGTAAATGAATTTATTATTAAATAAGAAATGAATCAAAGACAAGCAAAATATTCTTCATAAGTCAATTGAACAATTTAATTAAAATTTTTGGTGCATCATTTGTTCTTCGCTACGATGTTTAACAGGTATGTATGCTCTTTGCCAAAAAACACTTTGAAAGTATTTTTTGGCCACGGAGGACGCTCCAAAGGTGAAGATGACGGTAAAATGAGTTGACCTTTTCATGCTTAGTAAACCTGTATAAGAACTAAAGGTCTCGCAACAGTCTAAAGCGTCCCGCGAGTCTTTCGATGAAATCCTTTTCGGCGAAGAGCATTACATTCGTTTAACCGAATACAATGCAATTAAAATCAACTTGCGATGACATCTTTATGGATAATACTTGGAAAGCATATCTTTGAACAGTTTTTTTTTAGATTTAGACATTTCTGTTTTTTACATTTCGACACTTTAACCTTTCGACATTTTTACCTTTCGACATTGTTCCTTTCGACATTTCTCCTTTCGATATTTTTACCTTTCGATATTTTTACATTTCGACATTTTAACCTTTCGACATTTTACCTTTCGACATTTTTCTTTCCACCAAAGTTCAGAGAATCAGTGTTTTATCTCATTAGAATTGCCAGATTGTGAACTACAAAAGTATGTATTTAGTTTTTCGAGATTTGTTATATTGTTGAGAAAATTGAGATTTTTCCTCATTTAGTGGCAAAATCAGATAAAATCATGAAAAATGTGCTTGTATTTAGCAGCTTTTATTAATATGGTTCAGTTAAAAAGCACAATGGATAGCATATTCTGAATCAAAGTCAAAAACTGCATCGAACCATCTATGTTTAAAAAAAGGGATGTGAATAAAGGTGGGGTAACTTACATTTTCGTCGAACTCTATTTTCACCGATTCCGATATCGCCGACTAATTTTTATCACTGAAAATTACCGAGCCAAATATGATTCATTCTATATTTAAAATTTTTTTCCAATTAATGTTTTATCAACGAACTTATTAATTACCATCTGAGTTGGTCATCCAGTGAGTTGAGTAGCAGCAGACTTGAGTGTGGGTATAACGACGGGTGTGTGGGTATAGGTGTGAGGATGGGATCTGGCTGTAGATATGGGTGCAAGGATGTAAGAGAGAATGTTAGTGGGATCGTGGGTGCGAGTGTAGTTGTTTTCATCATCACACTGGCAACCACGTTCACATCGGACATGACAACTGACTAAGATGACAAATAACTCAGTTTGTAATTAATGAGTTTGTGAATAAACCTATTAATTGGAAAAACTCTTAAATATAGAATGATTCATATTTGACTTGATAATTTTCGATCAAAAAAAAAAAAAAAATAGTCGGCGAAATTGGAACTCGCCGAAAATGGAATAATTCGTAGGTAGGGATAGGTGTAGATGCTGGTAAAGAAACGAATTGTTCACACCTACACCTACCCACACTCACACACACATCCTCTTCAGTCGAAAAGATTTTTATTATGTATTTTGTTTTAACGGCAGTACATCGAGCTGCAATATAAGATTCAAAAAAGCGTTACTTATCTAGAAAACCAGAAGAAAGCTCACGACTTTTCCTAATAGAAACTTACAGATATTAGTTAAACTCCACAAATTAGTGTACTGAATATATTTTTGTTACATAAAAGGCTAATACATATAAACAATTAAAAATAAGGTTCATGCAGAGGGTTGATTCGAAAATGTTATTGTTTTAAATAAAACAGAATCTGGTTTCTTCTTTCTTGCTTGCATCCAAAACTGTGGTACAAAACCAAGAAAATAGAGAAAAGGTGTACCAGCAGCAATATATTCTGGAATACCCGCTGCAGTTATAAGCCAGACAACAAAAAAAGCAATAATTAATAAACTGCAGACAAGAAACCATATTGGCCAAATAATATTCGAATGTTGTGGTGCATCTAATCGACGTATAAAGAGATAAAAGACGATAACAGTATGAAGAAAACAATACAATGAAATGAGTCCAAACAGTCCATATGCACCAGTGAGATGAATTGTAGGACGTCTATCAACACTTGCAATGGCCATAAGAAGAAGAAAACCAGTGGATAGAAGACCAAGAGCATGAACAATACTTATAATACCACGATGAATAATATATTGAGTTTGAAAGAGAAACTGAATTCGACCAAGAAGAATTACAACTAATTGAATTGATAAAATAACAAATCCAGTCACAAAATAAGGATATGCCTGTCCAGTACCAAGTTGAGATATTTGAGGATACTTTTCGTCTGGCGGCGCATCATTTGAAACTTGAGTACATACTACCAAAGTCACAATAAATGTAACAATAGCAGTGAATGGTAATATAACTAAAGACCAAAACCATATCAATGGTCCAACTCTTGCCATTTTCTTTTTGAAGAGAAAAATATCTGCTCGTTATAAATTGTTTCGAAAAAATAAAATCTCTCTTATATTAAATTTATAGTAATTTAAACGTGCTATTATTTATATAATAACATAGAAATGTGGTAAAAATGATGGTACAATGATGTTATAGCGTTCTTTTCTTATCAATTAACTTGATTTAGAGAAGATAAAATTTGATGACAACATGATGATATCATTTTTACTGTTATCATGAAAAAAAAATGATCTTTGAATTCTTTCACAACTAACAATAATTTCTTTTAATACCATAATCTATAAATGATCGTACAGTTCATCTTTAAAAATCATTGTGTACGAATATCATTATTTTCTATTGTTGACGAGCATATATAAATTGTAGCTAAATATATGAAATAGACTTGTTATTCAAAAGGTGTTTATTTCTATATTTATTTGTCTTTTATTTCTCTTGAATACATATTGACACAGAAGAAAAAAACGTTATATTTATCATAAAATTAAAATAGAAGATGATTGCACGATCATTGTTCATCATCACATACCATAAAAACAGCAGATTCACGATTTTTAGCTGATATTGTTTCACCATTTAATTTTTCTAATAACAATAACGTAAAATTTGATAATTTATAAAACGAAAAAAAAAAAAAAAAATTAACTAACCATTTTCTTCGACTTGTTGATTTGAACAAATAATTGAATTTTGAATTTCACAATTTGATTCGATTGTTGAACGAGAACATAATATTGAATTTTGAAGAGTTACTCTATAATAATTAAAAAGAAAATAAATAAAGTTATCTATTCACTTTTTTTTTTCATTTTTACCCTTCTTTAATATGAACATTATCTAATAAAACACAATTAACTATTTTACATTTATCTTCAATTCGACAATTTTTTCCGATAATAGTTCGTTTAACTGTTGTTTTCTTTCCAATATCATATCCATCACCAATAACACAATCGGGACTAATCTAGAATTTTATAAATTATATTTTATTTCTATTTTTAATAAAAAAAACGAAAGTGTTAAAATTTAAATTGATAAAAAGATAAGATATTTTACATCGTTACTTCAACATCTGAAATTCTTATTTTAATTTGTACGATATCAAATTAAATTAGTAATATAGATATAAAAAGATTCTTTGAAATAAATAAAACTTTACTTGAATCTGTTCTAATCGATCTTTAAATGTAATATCTTCATTTGTATATGATAAAATGAGTGATGATGCCTTAAATTTACAAAAAAAAACAATAATAATAATAATAATAATAATGAAATTAAAATAATGCTAATTACTGACTTGTCGATTAGCTTCAAGATATGAAAGAACATGTTTAACACGAAAAATTTGTGTTTCATCAATAAAATAATAACATCCTCCTCTTATTTGGTTATTATCACAATCATATTGTTCTAAAAGTCTTGTTAAATCAGCATGATCACCCAAATTAGTGGCTATTTTTAAAATTAAATCAAATTTCAATTTCAATTAATAAAAAAAAAAAAAGCTAAAACGAAACAAACCTTTCTGTCTAATCATTATCGATTTATTAGCAGATGTTGAAATGAGATCTTCAAGTGATTGACCAGTTGCCATTTGTCGAATCATTTTTGGTAGAAATTCTTTACGAAATGATGAATAATTTGAATAAATAGCAATATCCAAACAGGATTTTTTTATTAAATATAAATGAGCATCAACTAAATTTGTTCGAATTATTGTCCGAGGATATCTTATTAATAAAAATAATTTATTTTATATTAATAATATTATATTATTGTCTTACTTAGCAAGAATATTTTGTCTTAATGGAAGATGTTCATCTAAATCAGCTTTTAATCGTATTGATGTTACTGTATTTGTTGATTGATCAACTGTGTAGAATTCACGTTCTATTTAAAAAACAAAATAATTCATGTAGTTTACTTATATATTATTTTAACAAGTTTCATTTTTCTTTGTTGAATTCCTTAATCAAATATTAATTTGAATAACAAAGATTTTGTTTATCCATTTTCATGAAGTTCATCATAATTTAATCATGAGAAAAGTCTACAGAGCTAGATTTTTATATTCGATGTATTCAAAGAGAAACTTTTCTTTGATTTTTTTTTTTTGATCAACTCTAATTTACAATAGAAGTTAAAACTACTCTATCAGAATTTTCATGATAGGACTTACGACTGAAAACATACTTTTTAAAGCTTATTTCAAAGAGAGTTTGTAAAATACTATCTACATACACTTTTGTATTAATACTCGAAACGGCGTAATGTTTTGACTAAACAAATAACTCAATTCTTTTCTTTCTAAGATCAAATCATTAAAAAATGAAAGATTACTAATGATAAAAAACGAATACATCTCAATTGAAACAAAAAACTCAAAGTTTCAAGATAGATTCTGTCAGTCTCAATCATTCAAAAACGTTACTTTTATAATTTACAAAGATTTAGTTAATATGCAATCTATTACGTCTCTAACTGTAGTATCACTTAAGACTTGAAGAAAGACATAAAACGAAAAAATCTAAAATAACCAACAAAGATTCTATTGATTCATTTTTGAATTTTTCCTACTGAAAAAATGAAAAAAAAAGCATTTTTAGAAGAGGAAAGTAATCGATCTGTAGATTACACATAAATTGGCCATAATAACATTAATATTCGAGCATACATCTATCAATCTTAATTCTATTTGATTATTTGAATCAGTTCGATTATAGAAAACAGTTTCAAAGCTTTTGTTATTCAAAAAAGAAAAAGAAACAAAGGGAAAACATCTATATAAATGATAAAATAAATTATTTGAATATATATATATATATTCTATTCTAACCTGGAGTAAATTTAATTTTTTGTCCAGGTTGTATAACAGATTCTTTTCCCGTTGTTGTTGGTGTTGTTGTTTTAAGTAAAAGCATACATAAAGATGCATCTCGTACTCTAAACATGTTAATTAATGGTGTAAGATTAACTTTTCCAAAAAGATCACATGTAAGAAGACATATTGATTCAGTTCTAATACGAGAATAACATGAACGAAGAATATCTAATGTACCTAATTCAATTTGTGTTTGTTGTTGATCATCATCTGTTGATTCATGATGTTGTCGATAAATAACAATTTCATATGTTATTTTAAATGTTGAAAGATAATCATCAAGAGCTTGTCGATATTGAGAAGATGTTAATATAAGTAACGGTGATAATGATAATGATGAATGAGATTGAATTATTTGAAGACTATACCATATTAATGGACGATTTCCAATAGGTAATAAACATTTTGGTATAGATAAATCTGTTGATAAACAATTATTTCCACCAGCATATAATATTACTGTAAATTCTTTCATTTTATTTTTATAAGAAAAAAAAAAAAGAAAATCTTTAATAAATAAATTTATTTAACTAATGAAATAAATATATATATATAAGAGAATAAAGAAATTTTGTCAATCATTTTATTTAATATCTAAATTTGAAAATTACTTTCATAAGAAAAGAAAAAAACATGATGTAATATTGCATCAGACATTATATTTATACAATGTATAGATACGTTAATAGAAAAACAAAATTTCCATATAATGTTTTTTTTTTTTTCTTGAAATAAAAATGATCATTTCATTGATTATTAATTTATTTTATTTTATTTATTATTGAAAAAAAATATATCCTAAGGATCTAAAAGTAAATGCAAAACGAAATTGATTTTTTTTTTGTTCTTTATTTTAAAATGTATAATAAGAGAGAAGAAATCCATTAGTTTTTTTTTTTTTTATTTTGTGTTCTTTTGTTTTTTTTTTTTTGTTCTAAACTCGAACACAAAAAATGACAAGACACACACACATGAAAGAAGAAAAAAATTGTCTTAATTGATGTTTGTTGTTTTTTTTTTTCAAGTTAAATTAAAAATGGAATAATTGCTTTACGTTGTTTTGGATATTTATCAGCAAAATCTTTTTTATAAGCTCGATGTTTTTGTTTAGCCCATATAGTCATTTGTACAGTTCCAGCAAAAGTAAATAAAAGTGCTGTTAATGTTTGTGTCATTAATGAAAAACCTAACCATGAACCAATTTCATATGTATAATTAGGACATGAAACAAAATAAAATAAATTTGTAAATGGATTTTTTTTATTTGGAAATGGTATACGACGTTCATTTGTACCAGGTGGACGAAGATCACGAAGAAGTAAATGAATTGATAAATTACCAATTTCATTTAACTTAAATATTTATTAGATACTCTTTTTTTTTTTTTAAGAATAATAATTAACTTACTAAAAATATAAATAAACCTAAATAAATTTGAACATAACCAAATGATGGTGGAGTATATTTTGGATGATTAACAAAATATGAAACCATTGCAGTAAAACCCCAATAATAACTACAATTCTATTTAGAAATAAAATAGAATTTTTTTTTTAATTAGATTTAAAAAAATAATAAAACAAATTACTTTAAATAAATTAAATATTGGCATTGTTGAATGAGAAAAACGATGAACAAATATTGTTTCTAATATACGTTTTGCATAATGAAATGTCCAACAAGCAGCACCCAAACTAAATAATTAATAAAGAAATATTTTTTATTTTTTTTAGAAATCATATTAACTAACTGAGCAGCAAGATGCATTGGTTTTGAAGCAGCTAATGAACCATATATAAGACTTGGTCGAATATAAAATAATAAATAGATAAATAATGGACCTGCATATTCAGCGAGAAATACCTTAACAATAAATATTCATTTAATAATAAATAAATAAATAAATAAATAAGATTATTACTGTGCTCCATCCAATTTGTGGTCCTAAATCTTTAAAATAAATTTTTCCTATTTTATCAACATTTAATTCAGATAATTTTTGTGTATCTTTTACAGATTTTCCAGCTAAAATAAAAAAATCTATGTAATGACAATCAATATTCATTGACATTTTTGTTTACTTGGTTCAGTTCGATATGATTGACGATCAGGATAAAATTTTGGTTCTAAAAAGAAGAATTTTTATTTCTATTTATGTGATTAATAGAATTTACTTTGTTGAGCAACTCGTTTTTTTAATTCAGCAATTGTTGTATCTGCTGAAATCTTTTAAAATAACAAAAAACAAAAAAGAATAATTTAACTTAAAAAAATTCAATCTTTTGATAATAAATATATACAGTATCAATTGTTGTCAATACTCCATTGCCACGAGCTTTGAGTACTTCAAGCTAAAAATAAAATAATAAATAATTTATTCATTATTAAAATCTTGATAAAATTTTTACTCGAAAAGTGTTGCCTTGGTTTTTTGTAGACATTCTCTCTTTATTGTATACTTCTCTAGAACGACGATGAGACTCGAAACAAAATAAGTAGAAACCTCGTACAACAAAAAAAAAATGACTCCGTTATTTGTACTAATTGAAGAAATATTCATTTTCTAGTTAATTAAATGTTCTTCTAGATTTTCTATTTAAGTTTTTTTTTTTTGGCAATATTTATTATTTTCTTCAAAGTTTTTACTTTTTTTTCTCACATCATTCGAAAAGATGTCACTATTACACACATCCCAAACATGAAGAATATACCTGTCTAACTAAATCCAAACATCCCAGTGAAAAACATTTGCTTCAAAGAATGGAAAAGAACGCGTTCCGTGAAATTAAAAGCCCTTTTTTTTAAGAAAAGAAGACGTTCCAACAAAAATGGAAAGCGTTCCAAAATGGAACCATTAAGAACATATTCCATGTTTTTTGAAATGTGTTCTTAACTGTTCCAGCTTTTTTGGAACGTTTTCTTTTCTCAAAAAAAAAAGCTAGCTTTTTTTGGAATGCATTCTTGGTCGTTATTGCCTGAATTTAGATTCACTATAAGAGTTCTCGAAGAGAAGTTCAGACATAATTTTTTGAAAGATCGATTCTGGTGGAACTCGACGAGCTCTATCCAATGGCGTGCTCTAAGTTTTCGTAGCTCAAACTGTTATTAAAAAAAAAAACTTTTTTGAAATCAGGACCGCCAGTTGTAAAGTATGACTAATTGAAGGTTCTACCATTTTCAGGGTGTTGTATTTCAAAGCTGTCATTTTTGAATCAAACATGACGTTAAATTCAGATGAAAGCGTTCATCAGTCAAAAGAATCCATTCTCAGGTGTTTCTCAAGAGAATGTTAAAAAAGCGATCTCATTTCGATGAAATCCTAACTTGACTGTTTCGAAATAGAATGGGCAAAGATACGTTCTATTAGCTCATGGAACGGTTCAAAACGCTTTCTATCCCGATAGAGAACGATTTTTGAACTGAGAAGAAAGCATTCCATACTAGTGTGGAACAGTAAAGAATGAGTTCCTTTAGACTCAGAACTTTTCTTTTTGTTTGTGAAAACGTTCGCTAAGCTGAAGAACACATTCTTCATGTAAAAGACAAGTCTCTACATTTTTATAAATGCATTCTCTTCCGTTATTTTTAGAAATATTTTTCATTGGATATGTGAGAGATCGAAAAAAGATTTCATTTTATTGAATTCGGAAAGAAATTTTTCTGACATTGATTGCTCTATTCAGAATAGTATGCAGCACATTAACTGAACACATCAGTGTTTTTTTTCAACACTGTTCATGAAAAGTTTGTTTTTGATTTCATCCGAATCTGAAATGATCTTTAACATATCCATGTCCACTAAGAATCATGAAGAATTTCGAAATGAATTTTTGACTATGGAGTTTTTCATGAGAACAATTCTAAATTCTCTAAGAGATCTGAATAGAACATCTGTTGTTTTTTTGTACCTTTTTAAATCGGTGAAAAATTTTGTTCGATGAGATTTTTTTTGTATTTCAATTTAGGAAACCAATAAATAAAAACTATTTTAGTCAAACCAAATAACAAAAATGTGTTCTATGTATTATTTTTCATTTAAAATATTCCATGTTGTTTCATCTTGTAGGAATTGAACCACTATCGCAATGAAGTTCTCTTCGTCACTTTGTAAAACACATAATATTGTAGAAATATAGTTAGCAGTTTTTTTTTATTACACAATACATATGTCTAAAATCCTACGTGTTTCTATCTCAATCAAACGAAAGTTTCGGAGTAAGATTAGAAAATTTTTGCGAATAATCACAATGAAACAGTTGTGTCTGTTATGACTAATAATTGTAAGTATTGTTATCTAATGATTTTTATTTTAAGACATAGAACACCAAAGAAAAAACATCCAACAGTTAACACTGAGAAATACAATTTCCTAGAAGTCACTGAAAATAAAGAGATAGAATCAACGCATGTTTACCGTTAATTACGATTATTTTAATCGAGAAGATGCTACGGTAACAGTTAAACGTATAAAATCAACTCAAATCGCGTCTAACTATTATATTAAATTGTACACTGTCCATACATATATATTTAAGAGATTATTTTAGTATATTAAATTTCTATAGTGAAATACATAGTTATTGAAATTAAATAAATGATTGATGTTTGATTAGAATAAATTGATTTATTAGATTTTTTCATCAGTTGTTTAATAATAACTACTGATTGCGTTATTATGTATAAAAATAAATTAGAAAAAATTCTCTATTAAGATTTATTTTGAAAAAAAATTAAAAAAATGATTTAAATTCAATCAAAATTATTTCGTCTTTGATAAACAATTAAATATGTTGGTAAAGCTAAATAAGTATCATCATTTGTCAATAAAATAAAATCATTTTTTAAATCATATTTAGCTAATTCAACAACAAATAAATAATGTTTTCCATCTGTTGAACGACGAGTTCCATATAAATGACTATTTAATATATCACGTGTTAAACAAATTGATCCAATTGATCGATTTTCAAATTGATCACCTAAAAGAAAAAACAAAAGAAAGAAATAATTAAATATAATAATAATTATAAATAATTGAATAAACAACCATAATTAGAAGCATTTGATGAATGTAAACCATAATGAATTATTGATTGAACTGATGAATAAGGACAACCATGATAATATAATTTCGTTTCACAATTATTATTATTATTATTATTAAAATGTAAATATAATGGATAATTTTCAATTGAATAAATCTAAAAATAAAAATTCTTCAAAAAACAAAAATTAATTCTAAAACAAACTTGTTCAATAATCCAATCATTAGTTGACATTGTTTCATGAAAAATTCTAAAACATTCTAATCCTTCATATGCAGATTTATTTATTTCTCTAGTACGAATCATAAATAAAGATGAAGACCATGATGATGGTAATTTTAATTTTGAATCAGCTTAAATAAATCTTATCATTAAAATAAAAAAAAAACATAGTGCCTTCTTACAATTAATTTCTTTTTTAACAAGAAACGCCAATTGATTTGTTTGATTGATTTTTACTTGTAATTTATTTAAATCAATATTGAACATGATTTTATCATCTTCAATATAAATCTAATCAAAAATTTTTTTCTTTTTTTTACATATTAATAAAAACAAAAGAAAAATTTGACTAACATTTGATTCTTTAACAACAAAAGCTTCATCAATTTTCAATGAAATAAATGAATTTAATTTAATTTCATCGATCTTTTCTCCATCTTGAGTTAATACATAACTATATTGATAAACTTTTTTATTTTGACAAAGATTAAAAAAACATTGAAAACATGAATCATGATCACCAATAAGTTTTAATTCATTTTTAGAATAATCAATACATGGAATAACATTATATTTTAAACATATATCGATTAATAAATCAATCTTATAAAAATCATCAAAAATATTTTACTTTAATTAATTAAATAAATATATATATAAATACTTTATCGATTAATGATGATTCAATAAGTGACAAGTCAAGACTTTTTTCATATAACAAATTTTCTAATGATTTTATTAATAAATTATGATGTTCAATTATATTTGATGAATTTGATAATGTTAACACACGTTTACCTAAAACAATTTTATTCGAAGAAAATCAAATTAATCTCATTCGAAAAAGAAACTATAAACTATATTTTGACAATAAAAATAAGTCAGTTAAATATGTATCAACACAAAACATTAGCGAATAAAAGTCGATACTTTTCCAAAACTTCTATTATAAACTGATCATTGTATCGGATAGACAAAAACAAAAATACAAACGAAATTTTAATTCTATTTAAATAGATAAGACAAATTTCAATAATTTACATCTGAAGATTGTTCTCATCAAAATGATTTAATCTTTAGCAATAATTATCTATTAATAGAATTATTTTCACTAGATATTAACTAACATTTTTCTTATTTTATACTCAAATGAACATCAAATCTACGATTAAATAAGAAATCATTCCAAATTTTACAATGAAAAAAAAACAAACATTAGGATTTATCCTTATTTTAGAATATAGTATATTGAAGATTAGAAAAAGGACACAAACTTTGTATATCTCGTCGAATAATTTGTTTTTGTGTCTCAAAATTCGTTGATAAATTTGTTTGATTATCAATGGTTGGCGTCGAAACTTTTTTTGGTTCAATTTGGTCACAAAGACTATCAAGATAAATTCTAAAAATCTATTTAAATATTAATTTATATAAAAGAATAAAAACAAAAAAAATTCGTTTTTCAAATGACTTGATAACATTCATCATCATCATCATGTTGATGATTTGGATTGATTCCACTTGATGGATAAATAACAAAGAGAACATCAATTTTATATTGTTTTAAACATTGATTTACTGCATTAATCATTGTTTCACTAACAAAAGCTGGATCAAGACCAAGTTGACCAGCGCCAATCTATTTTTTTTTATAATTAATAAATTTTATTTTTTTTTCAAATAAAATATCTTACAGGTGGAAATGATATTGATTTCATATTTCGTTGATATCCTTGTTCAATACACCATTTAACTAAATCTGACAATGACTATGAGATATAATAATAAATAATATTATTTATGATTGATTAGACAAAATCAGAAGAAAAAAAAAGAGAAAACCTTTTGAGTTTTAATTATTTCTGCTTCTTCAATTTCTGTTTGCCAAGGAACAAAAAGAATTTTTCTTGCTGCAGTTAAACCACCATCAAGTAGTAAAGCGTCTGTTGGATGATAACGTTCTTTATATTGAGATTCAATTTTATGACCAGCACGACGTAGAATACTATCACGTAAATTATTTGATGTACTTACACATATCATCATATCAACCTTTTAATAAATTAATTCTTTTTCTTTTTTTTTTATATTTAATTAATAAAAGATATTTTACTGGAATTTGAGTTATATCACCAGATATAACATCAATTGACGAATCAGTTGCACTGATATGAAATTTTCCATCCGATGATAACTATTATAAATAATTTCTTTTTTTTTTTTGTTATAATTTAAAAGAAAACGAAAACAAACCTGTTGACAATGTTCGTCATCGATAGAAGATGATTTTTTCTAATCAAATTAAAAAAATTATTTTATATTTTGATAAATTTTTAAAAATCAATTTAAATTTCTTTTTTTCTTTTGTTCTCATACATTTTCAGATAATATTGGTGAAGATTTTCTTTGTTCAGTTCTTTTTTCATGAATTACATCGATATTTACTAAAATAAACAAATTTACTAGTTTTTTTGTTTTCAATAAGTATTATGGTAAGGTTTTTATTTCTTATATAGAAACTTTTTATAATTGTGAAACATCCTCTAACTCATGTAAATTTCTCTCGGATATTTTTGTCTTTGCTTAGAAAAAATTTCTAAAAAAAAAATATAAAATTGATTAAGTTCGATAGAATTTATTGATTAATAATTTCTTAGTTAACTATTATTTTCATTTTCTCTTAAATAATTCGATTAATTCTCTCTCTCTATATATATATTCGAACAATTGAATATTAATAGATTTTTTGTTAATAAATAATCAGTATCGAATTCATATCATTATTTAATTATATATCGAAATTTATGGGCAAACTTAATTTATATTATATTTTAATTTTTAATTACATGATCAATTTAAGAAAATTTTTTAGAAAAACAAAATAAATATTCTTAAGCTTTATTTTACTTTGAATATTTATTTAAATTCTTTAGATAAATATCAATCAGTTTGAAAGACTAGTTTCTTCACTTTTTTCTTCTCAAATATATTCATCTATTATACAAAACTTTGCCGTTTTACTTCACATTACTACTAAAAAAATGTTTTCAAAGTGCTAGCATCAGACCAAAAGACTTTATCCCAATTGGTATTTGTAGTCAAATAACAATTGTTTTCAGAAATTTTCCATATCGTGTTAGATTAAAATCAAAAAATCAATATGAAATTTTGTTCATTATTGGATCTTGTCGAATATTCTTCTTCCTCATTCGATAAGTTATGTCGACACTTATCAAAAATCAATTGAATGAACTTACAATAAACTTTCAATGGTTCAGTAATAATAGCATAATTTATTTGATCTAAATATGTAACAAAGATTAGAATAGAAAAAAGTTACAATAAAAATAACAAACTTTGTTGAAAAATATATTCTGCAGCTGATGAACAAATAATAAGTGAAAGATGATTATCGATTTTCACAGTTTCAATATTCAATGTATCAGGTAAAATAGAATATAATCGTTTTTCAATATCTTTTCCTTGTTCAATATTTGTTAATCGACAATAACCTGATGGTAAACACGATAATATTTGACATTGATCATTTTCAGTAATATATTTTCTTCCAGGACCAAGAAGATAACACAACTGAAATGTCAAAAAAAAATTTTTCAATTAATAGAATTTCAAAGAAAAAAAAAGAATAATATTAGAATTAACAAGTATAGTCACATTATGAACGTACATGTTGATCATTAAACTGTTTCTTATAAAAATAATTCATTGTTGTTGTAACTGGACTTTTATCTTTATTTCTAGTGCTATGTCGACGAAGAACAAAATGTGTTTTAGAAATAACATCGGTAGATATTGATGAAGCATTTTCACAAGAATCAATTTCATTAGGATCTAAATATATAAATCAATAAAAATTGAAGATTAATAATCAGATCGAATTGATCTATAGATTCAAATGCTTCTATTAATATTTCATAAAAATATGATAAGTCGGTTATTGTTTCGATTAAAGAAATTGTTCAAAGTAATCTTTCAAAAATAGTTATTGAAAATGAACTATTCGAAAAATTTTTGTTCTGTTTTTTGAGAATAATGTTTTGAAAAATAGAACAATTATCTAAATTATTTTATTTCAACTTATAAGCTACAGTTGTTATGTAACACTCAGCAGGAATTGTCACGATTGAATGAAGATTGATGACTTACGATGATGATTAGAATAGTTTTGCTAAATTTGAATGAGAAATATGAAAATTTTTTAAAATTATGGGATATTTCTTCTAAAGGACTTTTCTGGTGATAATATTTATTGATTGAAAGAACATTTGAATGAATTAAATAATTTATCTTATTGAAAAAATTGAACTGTAGAAATAAAAATGTGTTAAATATTCTATTATTTGATATAGATATAAAAGAAAATGATCTACCATCAATTAATGGTGATTTATTATTATCATGAATTTCATCTTGATTATGTTCAAGATTTGGTGAATATGATGTTGAAGATAAATTAATGTCTTGAGATTGTTGATGATGATCAAATTGATTTGAAATAAAATTATTTTGATTGTTATCTATTTCGGATGTTGAATTTATTTTATTCTCATTGTTTTTTGATTTAATTTCTTGTGAATAAAAATCGGTTTCTTTTGTTGAATTAAGACGTGAAGAAAATTTAAATTTTCTTTGATTTGTTAGTGATGAATCGATAGATGATAATTGTTGATTTGATAATGAAGGTGGAGGTGGAACATTATTTAATTGATTTCTACCACGAGATCGTCCAAATATTAAACCAATTCGATTTTGATCTCGATATTTATTTTCATCATTATTCTCTAATCTTTTATCACATGTTGGAGAAATCTTAAATGAAATTTAAAGAAAAATATTTGATATTTGAATAAAAATAAATATATAAATTACAGTTCTATTTGTTAATTGAACTTGTTGATTATTATTTGAATTAGAAATAAAATTATTTTTATTGATATTCGAATCATTTAAAGATAAATCATCTAATGAAAGATTTCTTTTGATCAATAGATTTTTTTCATGATTTTGCATGATAAAATTTTCCATCATTGAAGTAACTGTTTTTTTTAGAGTAACAAAAAAAATAGATAATATATTGAAATTGTAAAAGATAAATTAAACAAGAGAAATTCGTTAAATACCTTCATCATCACCAAATATTAATTGAATTGTATATTGATTAATGCATCTTTTATGAATTAATAAAGATTTATGATCATTTAACCAAAGATCAATTAAATCTTCTGTTATTGATTGTTGATTATTTGTTTGTAGAAATAATCTTGATGGATTTGTTATTGATAATGATATTTGTATAAGATAAGAAATAAACTGAAATGTTTGTTCATCATTTTCTAATAATTTATATTTTTTAAGAATAAATTGATTATGTGTTGTGAATAATGAATGAGAATGTGAACATCTTCCATATGTATCTAATTGTAAACAATGTCTATTTAATATATAATCTTTACAAATATGCAGTTGTTCACATGATGATGATTTACATGAACCACCCTTATTTTGATCAATAAGACATAAACGGAGCTAAGAAAAAAAAAAAGAAAAAAAATGTCTTTTATTTTAAAATAAATTAGTTGTTACATTATTTGAAAAATGAACTGTATTTTGATCTTCTGATAAATAAAAAATCTTTGATATAATATCATCATGAAGAAGATCAATAATTAATTTTCGTGGAAGTGGAAGAATTTTTAATAAATCTTGATCAATATTTATTTCAAGAGATTTTCCATTTAGTTGAAATTTATCAAATAAATTTAAAATCTTTTCCAATAAATTCAAATCCATTTTGAAATTTTTTTTAACTATATAAAATTTTTTTCCCAGTAAGAGAACAACTGGCAAGCACATTTTACATTGCACACTTAACCGACTTTTTATCGGCAATTATCAAATGAAGTTTTTGTAGATGACGCTATTTGTGATAAATTCATTTATTGACAAATAAATTAACAAGTTAATCAAATGTAAAATATTTTATATAGATATTGATGATTTTAGAATTTGCTTCATAACTACTTAGCTCAAGGAACTTCATGATAAAGCTTACGAAGGCAGGTATACAATTCTTAGATCAAACAAAGAATTGCTCAGAAAACAGATGCTCTTCCATTGAATGAAATACATTGAAAGTCAGTTACCGTCGAGCGTTACTACCAGAAGAATACTTTTTGACTTTCTGAGAGAATGATGGAATGTAATGTACTCAAGTTAATGCTAGCAACATATTTGTGTACACCTTTTTTCTGTCTATTCAACATTGTCCTGACCTTTATATCTCGTAACGTGGGATGAAAATTTTTATGTATCGTTCCATTTAACTGAAATTAAAACCAATTATTTTTAATGAGAACTAGTTCAAGACATCACGAAAGTCTACTTTCAAACCAATCATCATATCTTATTTTAAGTAAAACTAGGTGACTGCTATCCTACACTTCATCTACAATTACAATATCTTGTATTTCTTTCTGAAGAAGCGAATGGTGATATTATGCGCACAGATTAGTGGCGTGACTAGGGAAGGGCAATCGACTGACACATCTCATATAATAATTGAGTCCTGATAGATTTATGGACTATTCGTCTCAAATCACTAGAGAAGCGACTGGTCGATACCCAAACAGAAGCTGAGTCCAATAAACCACATGTTGCCATGCTAGTAGTGAAGATGCTGTGCATTACCCTATATATTAATATCAGCTTGGACGAGAACAATCACTTTTGATGTCGGAAGTCAGACAAAATAACTTGAAAGATAACGCATTCTACAGCCCTTGAAGATTTCTGCAAATAGATGTATTGAATTGACGGGAAATCATAGCTTTATGAGACATGCGGTCTTCATTTTTAAAACAATGAGGCGTCACTTGTAACATCACCCATCAACGGCTATAAAATTTCGTGAACAAATTTTCAACTAGTTCATCTGGTGTAGTTTACGAGACTAATTAAGAATATGATACCAGATTTGATGTTTGAAAAAACGGCCGACAAGAAATGGTTTAGAGAAACAAAATGCAAACTCTCAAAAAATGACATTTGAATCTTATTTTTACATCAGGCGTCTTCGAAAACAGTATCTGCTAGTGATCGAGTTTCAATTATTTTATCCTTATTATAAAGCCCTTGCGTTGATCTATCTATAACTATACGTTGTATTTTGTTCCCGGGCATTTTTGTGTGCGAAACATTCATCAACATGTAAAAAGGTTACTCAAAAAAAGTCGAAAAAAATCCTTAAGTCTTAAAATTCTGTGAGTTTCACGTCCCACAATTAGTCTTTTTCGAGACACTGAATATATTATTTTGTAGAGCGCGTTTCGCTCTATCTTTTGAGATATGAATCATATTTATTAAATGAACAATTTCAGAGAAACTCTCAAAATACTCCGTGAGTAGCGAAAAGACGACTTTTTTGAGTATCGATTTGAGTTTGATCAATATTGTCTTCATAATTATTGAAGGCATTGATGAAAAGAGCTGAAACTTTGGATATAATAGTTTCTAATCATGGATCTTCGATTGCAATCATAAAAAGTATAGGTCTAAATTTTTCAAGAGCATAACAATGTTTGATCCTCTCATAGAACCTCTTGTAATTCCTGAAAGATACTCGAATTTTCTATTAGTGTAAAAAATATTGGTAAATCTTGACATAAATACCTGATCAATCAGAGCTCATCACACTTATATAAAAATCAAGGACTGTATATGAGCTATACATAGACAACAATACTAATACAACAGTATTTCTTGATATTTTTAAATAAAAGGGGAGTTGGAACTTTTCGAACGATCCTCGTAATAGATTGTAAGATTCTTATTTATCTATGCATTTTCAATAAATGAAAGATTAATTTAAATTCTACACAAAGTTGAAAAATACGTGTATGTCAAAAGATTCAATTTTTTTCGCTTGACAAGTACTTGAGGTGAACTAGAACGCTGTTGAGATCGTTAGTGAACGTATGAAGTTTTTCTTGTTGTTTCATTTCGAATCTTTAATTAAGATATTACCACAAGGACATCCACGAGTACGAATGAATTAAGCTTATGTTGATAGACTTAAACAAAAATTATGGATTAAAAACATTTTACTTTTGGAACATCTGGTTTATATGAATATAAGAGACGTTTAAGATATCCAATAAAAAAAATTTAAATGAATTTAAAAAAATGAACAACATAAATAGAGATTCGAAACTATTCAAAAGAAGTCAGTATTAAACGGGTAACCAGAGTGCAAGTACAAGAGGTGGAATCCAATCTGCTTGTGAACGATGAGCTTGTCGACATTGATACTTTATACCTTCATACATTACTAGATCATTAACTGCATATAAATAACCAACTTGCCATTGAGGAACATTGCCTCCATTTGATGATTGCGTTGTAGTCGGAATAAGTTTAATGGTAGTAGGTTTAGACGATGATGATGACTTACTTGTTACTGGTGATGGTGGCTTAGTTGTTACTACTGGTGGTGGTGGTTGAACACCATTATTTAATGCGTTGAATGTTGCGCCAATCAGTTCAGCCTGACGATCACTGCTTAATTCCCAGAAAAATGCACCACCTAAATTATTTTGTTTAATATAACTATTTTTAATGTTAATTGATTGAACATCATCATAAGTAATCCAAAGACCAGTTGATGGATTAAATAGAAATGGTACTTTCGATTGATCATCCCAATAACGTGGATACAATGGTATATAAGATTTTTTCAAATCATCATAATCATAAATACCATTTTCCCAAGTACCAGTTGGAAGTTGACTTGATGCTGTTTGAGAAAATCCATTAAGAGCTGTACTTGTTACTCCTAAAATCAATCATTTTATTATGAAAAAAGAAAATTTCGAAAACTCAACCTTGCCAACCACGTCCATACAAAGGTAAACCCATCAGAATTTTCGTAGAAGGTACTCCAGCTGTAATATAAGCTTGAATTGCTGCATCACAATTATATTTTGATTTGATATATGATGGAGCAACATCACTTGCTGTTTCATCATTGTTTTTATATAATGGAGCATTATGACCTGTTTTTGTGTCCCAACCACCTAAAAAAAATGAATTTCATATTGTAAAAGTAACTTACAAAAAAAATTTTAATTAAAAATCTAACCATGAAAATCATAAGTCATAACATTAAACCAATCAAGATATGCAGCCATACCAGGTAAATCCATATTACCAATACTTTCAGTACCTGCTCCAGTTCTATAAAAAATAAAAAATAATTTAATAAATGACTAATTAAGATTTTTGTCTCTACTTACGCTACAGTTAATAAATATTTCTTAGTGGATACAGCATTTAGCTGACGACGAATTTCTTTTAATAAGAGAACATAATTTTGTTTATCTTCTGGACGATGACTATTGCCTGACAAACCACCAGAAACAGGATATTCCCTAGAATTACAACATATCATTCTTTCTAAAAATCTTTTTAAATAACTACATCATTAAAATTCTTATTAACTTTCATAATTCTTGTATTTTAATGAATTATTAGTGTTTCTACAGAATTTTCCACGATCTGAATTTGTTAGTATGAAAATTCTTTTTTATTTTTATTATTTGTTTTACTCACCAATCTAAATCAACACCATCGAAACCATATTTCTGAATGAATTCAACACAAGAAGTAGCAAATGTCGATCGACTTTGATCAGTAAGAGCTATATCAGAATATTTTCCTGACCATGTCTATCAAAATAAATTATATATTTCATTTGCAAAAAAAAAATAATTTAAAAACAAATAGAAAAAGACTTACCCAACCACCAACAGAAATAAGTGTTCGTAAATTTGGATATTTTACTTTCAATTTATTTAATTGATTAAAATTGCCACGTAAGGGTTGATCCCATGTGTCACCATCAAATGCCTTGTCTGTATCTGCCCATGGATCACCAAGAGCAATGCGTCCATCAGAACCAATATTTGCAAATGCATAATTAATATGGGTTAATTTATCTGCTGGAATGTTAGAGACAAAAAATGAACGCCCATAAATCGACCAAGCAGTAAAATAAGCAAGAATGATTTGACCAGCTACCATTGTTTCGTTTTTCTTGTTTGTAGTTTCATTCCGACTTTAAACGTTATATATATATATGTATATGAATGAGCAACAGGGGAATAATCATACTGAAATACAAATTATGTGAAAGTAATATTAGCAAGTGTGATGAATAAGAATGGAAAAGACCAGATGATTCAATGAGAAGAAAAACAAAACTCCATATCATAAGAAGAAAACACGGGAAAAAAACCAGTATGACATAAAAGAAATAAAAGAAAAAGCAAAGATAGAGCATGTATGAGGGGAGGTCGATTCAGTTGAATGCATACGTAGTGTATTTTGGTCATATTTTAACAATAATACAGTGAAATATGAAAGTTTCAATAAAAAATAACATTTATAGAATCTTAGAAATTGCTTAAATGTCTAATTCAGTTTTTGCAATAATCATAGTCTAATAACACATTATATTCTATCGTGTAAATGCAAATAGCTGTTATTATAATGTTTCTCATGACAATACTGATTAGAATCGTATTGTAAGAACTCTCAATAATTTATTTCATTGTACCTAGAAACTAAATCAATTCTATTTCAAAGATATGAAGTCTTTGAAAATATTTCGATGAATAAATATGCATAATATATTTTTTAAGCACAAAACAACAAAATAAATGGTCTTTCCTGGTGTGTAGGTACTATTTGACTTTCAGAAAGCATTGAAATAATAAAATAAACTTAAACATATGATAGTCTATATGTCTTCGTGACGATTTCGCTATGATTCAATTAGAATTTTATTAAACAGATGTAGAAAAAGTTCCACGAAAATTTAAAAATAATGTAAATCACAAGCTGTTGAAGCATATGGAGATTTCAATAGAATTACTAGAAGAAAGATTTGCATTTGTCTAATCCATTTAAACAATCTATACCTTCCTTCTCTTTGATGTCAAGATTCTGACTCAACCAAAGAAGAAACAAATTTTATGCATTTTGAATTTTCAACACACTGTTTAATGTCATAGATTGGCTACTATATTTCGTTCAGAGTGCAATTAACGAGGAAATTACTCCAACTGGTTTCATCTTTTGGTTCTATGTAGATCTTCGTAAGACTAAGAAAACCCTGGAAGTGCTCGCACTTATGACCTATTGATGAAGAGCTATAGTCATTTTAGTGAGTTTTGTTAGTCACAGCAAGACATTTTCGAAAAACTTAAAACAAAGAGTTTTAACCTGAACTTTTATCTATAAATATGTCTATTAGTTATTGGAAAGTCCTGAAAGTTTCAAAGAAAGTGAGCGTACCTTTGTCGAGATATCCAATTTTCAATGAACTCAACAATTATGCCTTCCTGTGATAAGCGGGTTTTTTTTTTATAGGTAAAAGTTCATGTCAAAACTCTTCGTTTTAACTTTTACGAAAATAAGTTGCTGTGATTAAAAGATCCACTAAAATGGCTATAACTCTTCACTAATACTCAATGAGCATGAACTCCTCTAGAGTTTCCTTAGTCTCACTAAGACTTACTTAGTGCCAAAAGATGAAGTCGAAAGCTCAGAATCAGTCAGGATAGTTCTCTCGTTAGTAGCAAATTTGATGGAGCATTCTTTCTTTGTCTGAGAGAGGCATTAGATTCGTTAGGCGACTACATTAAAGTAAGTGATTCGCATGCAATGAAGTTTTTCATTCATGTGATGTGAAAACGTATCTTCGTGATTTTCGTATATCTCAGGCTCCTCTGTTCAGATTTTCTCTCTTATCCTATAGCAAATCTGATAAACTCACATCTAGTCTTGGCAAAGTGTGAATAGATCGTATTTTTCTTTCTATATCGTATCTTTTGATTGTACTCTTCTCATTTTCAACTCGTGTACAGGTCAAGGCAACAATACTGTCATCTATAATGACAGTAAAGAACTTTGCCGACTTGGGAGACCTAAAGATATGACGACAGAAATTTAGCCTCTTGACATATATTATAATAACCAGCACAAATATATCGCGCGTCTTATATTTTATTGAGTTCAACTGGACAACTTTGATATCAATTTAAGCGAACGTAACTACATTATTCGTAGTCAATTCCTTATTTACAAACAGCTGTGTGTTCCTATGATTTTCGATGAATGTTAAAATATGCTTAGCATGTCAGTGAATTAATAGATAATCATTCAGATCCTATTCAATCTGTCAAAGAGGTGTGCTTCACTTTTGATAATGTCGCATCTAGTAGCCGTTGTTATGAATCCTCTCTATTCATTCACTGCAGTTGGTTTAGAAATAACTTTTGTTTTGTACATTTTTCCTGCGATTATGACTTTCATAATAGTTTATATAGTTTAGTCTGAAGTAGTTGCTCTATCAAATATAGAGTAGTTCAGTTTTCTTTCTTTTTCTTTCAGTAAGTAACATTATCGATTAGTGTTGTTAACACTAGAATAGAAGTAAAAATAAATATATTATCATGATAAATTACAATTGTGAAACACATACAATTGTATGATCATATAATCACTCAATATTCTCGAAATTTCACACATATATCTCGTAATTCTAATGTGTAATATAGACATCAATATTTTATAAAATCGATAACTTTGTGTTGCAAAGGTTGTTTGAGTATCATCAAGAGAATTTTAAGAAAAAAGAATTTTGCAGATGACGCTTTTCTTCATGCCACTATTAGTCAAAGTATATCAAATCAATAGATGACGCATTGTATTTTTTTGTTCTATTTGAGATGAATCATACTTTATTAGCACATTCTATTTCAGTTATGCATTTTATCTGTAGTTCAGTATTAATAAAGTCTATAGGATAATGTCCATAGAAAAAGTTATAAATTCAACTTATAATCGAATGCGACACATCCTCTCACGGGCAAACTTCTGTAAACATGTATTTTGTGGTGAACACATTTCTTTTTGTTTATGATACTCTCGAGAATTTTTCACTGAAATCGGTTTTGCCACAATAATAAGAAAATATCAATGCTTCTAATGATTATATTATAATCATATTTAATTTCCAGTTGTCAATGATATCACGGTAAAAATCTTCTAAATTAATATTAATAAATAAAATATTTGATATAGATGTCACCGATAAAAAGTGCATATGATAGTATAATTAATATAAAGAAATGTTATTTTAATCCGTATGAGAGTTTTCTAATGTCATTCTGTTTTTTTTTTCGGAAGCTTGTCAATTTATATTTCTATGGTAAATCCAATGTTAATCTATCAAATAAATGAGAGATTTGTTTTGCCGTTTCTACTGAAAATTTTGAATGTATGTGATATAATGCGTCTTTCTTTTTTGTCGTATCAAGTTACTGTATGGATCATGAATAAAATAGTTGATGTTTTTTTTTTTTTATTTAATTTTTAGGGTAGTTAAACTATAACAAATTTGAATACTCGATTGGTTTTCTCAAGTATTTATAAATATTTTTTGCATGATCATCATTTATTAGATTAGTAACACTAATAAATTATCATAGACATTGCATGATTATTTAATAATAGATTTACTTGTCTTGTTTTTATCTAGAAAATTTCTTTTTTCATATTAGATTTAGAATTGTAATTTAAATAAAGTGAAACTTTCTCGAAAGAGAATAAATTAAAATTAACAAGATTGTTTTTGGAAAATATTTTTATTTGAAGAAATTAATTTAGGTATTAGTACTAAAATTGTAGAAAACTATTTTTTGAGATTAATTTCTTTTGTAGTGTTTAATAGTAATAGTTGATGGTTGTATATATAAAACTCATAATTATAATAGAAGAATTAGAATTTAGCTATTAAACTAAAGAGATAGATTTTAAAAAACAAAAACATTCTAACATATTCAATTGTAGAAATTTAAATACTAATTCAAATAAAAATCTAATAATTAAAATTTTTTTTTTAAATATTTTCTATTATAAAATTGTGTTCGATATTAATAAAATAAATTAAATTTAAAAAAAAATTTCTCTATTGACAATATTGATAGTTAAACAAGTATTATTTTAGATTGTTATTTAGCAGAATAATTAGTTATTTATATTTAATTATTAAACATAAAAATAATAATGATTGTAAGAATAAATTGATGTTGATATTTATTTTTAGTTTTAATAAATATCATATTTATTATAGATTGGTTGATAATCGATTCAATCGAATCGAGTGTGAATAAAAATCGATTTATCGCCAATGTCTAGAGTTGCTACTGCCACTGGTTATATAGAAGAACAAAGTGAAGAACAAGAACTTCGTCAAAGATTACCAAAACCACCAGAAAAAAAAATGATACCATTATTTCATCGTCGAAAAAAACCAACAAATGTTTTTCATTTAATGCGATATTTATTATTTATATTAATATTTTTAACATTTGTATTAATATTATATTCATCCTTATCATTATCACCATTTCTTCGTTTACTTGATCCATATTCTTATGTATTAGTACTTGATGCTGGTTCAACAGGTACACGTCTTCATGTTTATAAATTTCATGCATCAACTGATTCTGAAAATGGTGATACATTTGTTTTAAAAAGTGAAATATTTAAAGAACATAAACCCGGTTTATCATCATTTGCTGATCAAGTTCATAAAGCTGAAGAACAAATAAATAATTTATTAAAAATAGCCGATAAAGAAGTTAGTCGATTTAAACATCGTGGTACACCATTGGTTTTACGTGCTACAGCAGGTTTAAGATTATTAAATGAAACAAAACAAAAATTATTATTAGATGCTGTATCAAATACATTTAATCAATATGGATTTTATAGACCTAAGATGGATATTGCTGTTATGAATGAAACTGAAGAAGGAATTGATGCTTGGCTTACTCTTGTTTATCTTAAAGGTAATCTATTTCTTTAACTAAGATATTATCAATAAAAGCAAATTTATCTCAGAATTAGAATCGATAAGAAAACTATATGATGATTCGGTCGGATTCATTTCAAACTTAGTATGAATGCAGGCAGATGAAAATTCTTTTCTCATCAATCTTCTAAGAAGAAGTTTGGCTGAAAACAAATACTTTTACAGAATTTCAATTTCTGATAAAGTGTGACTAAAACTTTCAGGAAGTTCATGAGAAAAAGATATGCGTAATCAAAGGATACGTAAAAAATCGAAAAATATTGTTCCTTGAATATTCTGCTTTTCTCGTCTCAGATATATATCTTCAAATTTTATTATCAAATCGTCTTTTCATAGCCATGCATAATATGAAAAAAAAAACAATAAAATTAAAAATACAACGACAAGAAATCATTTTTGATTTCAACTTTGGTACATTGTCGACAGTTTCGCAAAAACTTTCTGTAGATATATCGATAATGCATCATTGCATCTAATTGACAGCAAAAATCTGAAAGTGTTTTTTCAATAAGAAGAGAGAGAGAGCAAAATGAAGAGATTTTCAAAAATTTCAACCGGTAAATTTCTGGTTTTAATTTGCCCGATTGATTTCCTAAACTGAATTACTTCCAACTCTAATTCATCTTTCTAGATGATGAAATCTGAAAATTTGATTTTTATATAATTATATCAATGTTCGATTATTAATTAAAGTGTATTTATAAAAAAAGAACAAATAATTTTCAAAAAAAAAAATTTACAAAAAAGAGATTTTTTGTTATTCGAGTGCTAGATAATGATTATTTACGAGAAAGTTTTTGTAATTAATAAAAGGTTTTCCCTTTTTTTAAGTAAATTATCTCTATGTACTGATATATATATATGATAAAAGCAAACAAACAAATATTTTAGGTGAACAATTTTATGCCAGTCGTATAGCTGCCCTCGATTTAGGTGGTGGTTCAACTCAAATAACATATAATCCATCATTATCAAATACAAGTTTAGCTGAAAAATTAAATTTATTATTAAAAGCTCAACAACCAATTCAACCAGGAGAAATAAATGCATTTCGTGATCTTATTAATAAAAAGAAAAAAGAAATGCCTAGAATTGATGTTAATCAAGCTGATTTAGAAGAAATAAAACCAGTTAAAATAGTTAAAATTCAAGATATATTAAATGAAAATACAAAATTAAGTGAAGAAGAAATATTAATGGCACATATGCATCAATTTCGAATGTTTCGTCGTGATATAAAACTTTATTCACGTTCATATTTAGGTTATGGTTTAATGATTGCTCGTCAAACAATATTTATTAATGAAACAAATAATAAAAAATTAATTGAATCACATCAATTAAAAAGTCGATGTTTTCTAAATGATATTAGTGGAAAATTTAAATTTCAAGAAGTTATTTGGACTGTTCAATCTCATTCAGGTTTTCAATTATTTATTTCAAAAAAAAAAAAAAGAAAAGCTAATAAACATAATATGTTTTATTATAGATGTAGATGATGAGGAACGTTTTTATTCATGTATGTCAATAATTGATAATTATGTTGGTTTAAATGTAAAAACAGCTGTTGGTCTTGATCAAATGTCGATATTTGTATTTTCATATTTTTATGATATAGCAAATGATGCTGGTTTATTATCATCTGAAGATGATCCATCATCAATAACAACAATGCCAATTCGAGTATTAAAACAAACAGCTAAAAATGTTTGTCATGGTCGAACAACAACATCAAAAGAACATCCTTTTTTATGTTTTGATTTAACATATATTTATTCATTATTAACTAAAGGTTATGGATTATCTGAAGATAATTTAATTCATATTTGTAAAAAAATTCAACAATTTGAAGTCGCATGGTCTCTTGGTTTAGCATTAAAATTGTTATAGAATATTCAGCTTTTCTTTCGTTTGTTTGTTTTTTTTATTTAACTTATATTGTTATTCAATCTTTTTTTTTCCGACAATGAAAAAGAGTCTTTGTTCGTCAATCTGTGTTCTTGTTTTTTCATTTTTATTAATACATTGCAGATTGGTTATTATTTTATTTTATTTTTTTCGTATCTAATGAAAAAAAACTTATTTAACAATATTCTAGTATTATATTTAATAAGAAGAATTAAATTCAATTCAATGTCAACTTATCAAACAACAAATGAAAATAAACAACAACTTAAAATTGATATTACTAGTGATAATATTTGTCGTGAGTGAAAAAAAATGAAATTGAAAAACAGAAAATAAAAAGAGTATTTATGTTGTAGCATGGTGTTACATTGGAAAACGTCGTTTAGAAAAAGCTTTATCTCAAATAAAATCATCTGATATAAATGTATCAATCGGATGGTATCCATTTCAATTAGATCCAAATCTTCCATGTGATGGATCACTTGTGAAAATGGATCGTTATAAACAAAAATTTGGTGAAGAATTTATTAAACAAAGATTACCACAAATGATTGAAACAGGTAAAAAAGAAGGAATTAATTTTTCATTTGGAGGTAAAGTTGGATCAACATTTGATTCTCATCGTCTTCTTTATTATGTTAAACAACAAGAAAATGGTGAAAAAAAACAAAATGATTTAATAAATATTTTATTTCGTGCTTATTTTGAACAAGAACAAGATTTATCTGATCATCAAGTTTTAATAAAAGCAGCTGAACAAATTGGATTTGATTCAAATAAAATCAAAGAATTTCTTCAATCTGATCAATATAAAAAAGAAGTTCAACAAGAAATAAATCGTAGTCAACAACAAGGTATATCTGGTGTACCACATTTTCGTATTAATGATCGTATTGAACTTAGTGGAGCTCAAGATCCACAAGAATTTATTCAAGCTTTTAGAAAAGTTGGCCTTCATATTTAAATAAAAAACAACTAATTTATATTTTTATTCCTGATTTTCTTTATTTATTTTTTTTTTCTTCACAGATTTCCTAGTGCAAATGATTTTTTTTTAATATCTTTTGTTTTCGTATAAATGACACTTTAAATGTTTATTTTTCTGTATAATTAAGTCGATAAAAATGTTTTAATAACGAAAATTAAGTTGTCTTGGTGTCATATATTGCCGTACAACATCCAATGTAATTTCTTTTCGTCGTTCTTGATGTTGACCTACTAATGTTTGTAAAACTTCAATTAAGATTTTTTTTAATTCACCAGTTAATAATTTTCCAGATGAATAATCCTTTTAAAATAAAATTAATAAATAGAACAGAAAAAAAAAATAAAATAAAAGATCTTACTTGTCGAATTTGTTCAAGTCTTTCATCATCATCCATAAAAAATCGAAGATATTGAAAAGATACATCAACATCACAATCACCACCTTTAGCTCGATGTTCTTCTATAGAATCTTTTCCTCCACTAAATGCATGTTTATTGATCTATAGATTTTAAAAAAAAATAATATTTAATTTTTAAATATTTTTTTTACAAAAATATAATTTACTTTTGTTTTAATATCTTTTGCTGAATCAGTTAGAAAAATTGATGAATTTATATCAGATGCAGACATTTTAGATTTTGAACCTTGAAGTGCAGGAAAAAATGTTGAATGAATTAATGATGGTTTTGGAAAATTCAAACGTGGTGCAACATCACGTGTCATTCGAAAATATGGATCCTGTTTTTTTTTAAAGAATAATAATTGATTATTTATATAAACACAAACAGAAAAACAAATTCTAAGTAACCTGATCAATAGCACATGGAATAAGACAAGGATATTCATGTTTAAGTTTTTCACCAAAAATAAATGGAAATGATGAACTAAGAGAAGGTGCTGCTTGAATAGCAGGAAAAGCTATTTTTCCAATACAATCACTTTCAGTAAAACCAAATATTCCTATATTAGTCAAAAAAAAAGACAAAAAATATTTAATTCAATGATTCTATTTGAATTTAACCTTTAACTTGATTGAATGTAACATTTTTTTGAATACGACAAATATTACGATAGAAATTTGGACATTGACTATTTTAATAAAAGAAATATATATTTAATAAATAATTGAAGAAAAATAATTAACTTACGCCATAAAATCAAAATCAGAAAAAATAAATGTTTTTGTTACATCAAATCCACATGCAATTATATCTTTAGCATTTTCATATGCATATTTATTTGCTTCTTCAACTGTTATATCTTTCCAGAGAAATTTTTCATCATCAGTCATTTGTATTACCAAGGGAACATCAAAGGCATCTTGTAACCATCTAAAAATTATTATTGATAGTTTTTTTTTAAATATTTTTTATCTTTAGAAAAAAATTCTTTTGTTCTTTTTTTTTTTTACTTTGTCATTATAAATGGAATGAGATGACCAAGATGCATTGCTTCCGATGATGGTCCACGACCCGTATATAAGAAAAATGGTTTTTTCTGTTCGTATGCTGTAAGAATTATTTCAAGATCTCTACAAAAAAAACAACAAAAAGCTTATTATTTATTTAAATTGATTTTTTTTTCTGAATGAACCTGTGTGAAAAGAAAATTCCTCGTCGAATAAAATGATGGACGGGTTTTTTAATGATTGATTCAATACGTGTTATTAAATCAGGAGAGATCTTTGATGAACCAAATCGACCTAAATAAAGAAATCAAAAAAATATTTAATAAACAATATTGAATAATAACATACGAATAAGTTTATCATAATCGATTCCAGTGTCGGAATGACCTATTACTTCCCATGGAGTAACTTTATCCTCAACTTCATCGATGGTTTTTTGGATTGCTTCTTCTGCTATTGGAAATGACATTCTGAAATAAATGATAACATTACATCAAAACATCGATTTTTTTATAATCATTCAATTGCATCAGATTATAGCCCTGACACATGAAGAAACGTCAGGCTCTTGCAACAGATTCTTTGTTCTATGGCATTTTCTATTGATACAACAATAAGCCAATCAAATCAACGCGAGACGTTGCTTGCTTACTTCTCTATTTTGTTTGTCTTTAGTCACTTGTCAGAGAAGAGCATTTTTTGCTAGTGAAACTTACAAAATATCATGTATTTATCTTATCTTCAGCTCAGTGAAATTGAGTAGATCATTAAGCTTTATTATTCATTTTCGATAGATACCACTAAATGCCTGATGTATGTTCAGCTTTAGAAAAAAAGTCAAATCTATCGAGATTTTCGACTCAGTCAAATATTCATACTGAAGGTCCTTGATAATTTCTAAAATTTCAATATTTACTGATAATTCTCATAAAACAAAAGTAAATCCAATAAAAAATGACGACATTTTCTCAAAAACTCATAGGAAATTTCTAAGTGAATCATGAAACCACTCAACCATTACAAAAGTATTTTCATCTGATTTTAATAATGATCATGCTTCCAACAGGAAATTTTTCACTATTTTCAGAAACCTCGACCTATTTAGAGAAGTTTCAGAAATTGCTAGGACATTTCAGTAAATGCATGAATTACTCTATTTATTTCGCATAGATATCAACATAGCGTCATTGGAAAAAACAAGAACCTACTCTCTAAAACATGAATAATTTTAAAAAATTATTAAATTAAGAAATTTTCTACACGTCAAAAGGAAACCTCTTCTTAATAATCAAGTTGATTGACGCGAACATAGGAAAAATATTTCATAATTCCTCTATTCACTAAACGTTTCGAAACTCCCTGGTAATAACTAAAATTAGTAATATTGTGGAGAGTAAAGTGTGATTCTCCAAAGGAAAATGCACTCATATTCATCTAGAATATATACATGGTAATTTTCGGATCTATCTAAGATTGATAGCAATTTTCACAGTAACTATTGAAATTTGGTCTATGATTTGGGTGAAATATTTTCGTTATCTACTATTTGCATAAATTTCTAAATATGATACCTTTTTGAACGTTTAGATTTTCTGAACATAGTTGGAAATTTCTGTTTTTTTTTGGACCGCTGATTATTGACATTATCTGGAAGTTGCTCAGTGGTATTTAAGAAACGGTTCGAAATTTGTTGTACTGTACAAGCAAACACTGAAATTTACTTCTTTTGTTTTGATAACTTTAAAATACTTCCTCAATACACGAGTATTTTCTAGCTGATGGTTTCGATTTAGTTAAGGCTGCCCTTTCCTTACCAAGAACTTGAGTTTTCTAAAAAAGAGAAGACATATTAAGATAAACAAATGCTGATGATCCCTAACGTATCTACTTTTCAAACTCATGCGAATGAGTTCCATTTTCAAAAGTAAAAGATAATGCAATGAGGACCCATTATAACAGTCAAAAATGTTGCTAAAGAGCTTCAGTAATCATGTAAAAAGTATTGGCGTGTTTTTTTGAAATATTGTTTTTTTTTGGATACATTGTCGTATTTTGACCAAATTTCTTTTGAATAATGTTCGTTCTAGGAAGCTATGGTTTCTTCTATTCAATAGATAGATGTTTTCTCTTTCGGATGAGGGGAGACATTTTTTATTTAACATTTCATATCGAAGTAACTATGGGTTTTATAGAAAACTTTATCTGAGATTTTTGGTGTTTAAAAGACTTTGAGACTTCCTAAAATGAAACAAAATAAATCATTACTATTTCTTCTCTTCATCCAAAAAGTAAAGATTTCGCTTTCAAAGAAAATAATTCCTAGTTCTATACCTTGAAATATAGTGGAAAAAAATTTTGGGTCTTGATCTCTATAAAATTTCTGAACGGTGAGATTTGGAGAGGTAACAAAAATTTTGTAAGTATAATTTTATATGCTTTGGATTAGTGGATAATTCAGGGAGATCTCGTGTATTCTATCCAAAATTGATTTTGGTAGACGAAAGCAACATTAACGAAAACTACGGTGAATTCTGAATGTGCTTTTTCAATCAAGTATTTTTGTAGGGTCTGTTTCCACGAGCAAGATACAGGTTGGATCAGAGTCAAAATGGATGTAGGTGTGGATGAGTTTTTTCTTCACCCACATCTTCAAAACTGAGCTGTATTTTCGTATTGTCTATGAAGTTTCGAATAATCTTTTTTGATTACAAACTATATTCTATTGAGGCGAATAGATTTGAAGCATCAATACAAAAAGAATGAGTATTCAAAATTGTTTGAAAGCTTATAATATTTTCATATTCTTTTACTAATTTCATGATTCAATATATTTGTTTATTGCAATGTATCATGAAACTTCTTTTCAATCTGAACAGAATTCAATTGGATACCGATTGATAATTGGATAAATATATTTTCTATATTTTATTAGTAAAGACTAGTATTAACTATATCACAATAAAATTTCTTTTTTCGTCATATTTCTATTGTCTTGTCATAATCGTATAAGGACTATTCAATGACTTGAACATAGTTTGCATTGTTAATTGTTTCTATATCACATATAGGTCGTTCGTTTTTTTAATTTGATGAAAATAGCCTCAGGATTAATAACACTCAATTCAGTCAAATGAAAATGCTCGTCTAATTTATCTCCAGGTAAAATATTATATTGACTTAGAAGATGTGTCAAACATATTTTGAGTTCCATAATTGCAAAACGCATTCCGACACAGTTTCTTGGACCATTTCCGAAAGCCATCCATGATATCGGATGACGCTTTGTCAAGTGTCTTTCAGGAATAAATTCATTTGGATCTTCAGGACCCCAAAGATCTGGACTAAAATGAATGCTCAATATATCAGCTTGTATGACACTACCTAAATATAAATAATAAAACAAAAAATGAAACAAATATTCTTTCATATTAGAATTATAGTAAACCTTCTTCAATCTGATGACCACATATAGTTGTCGTTTTGTTACATTCTCGTGATGTTGCTTGTATTATAATAGGAAACACGCGAAGTACTTCACGAATAAATATGTCTATATAAGACATATTTGTAACAAGATCGTAATTGTCTTCATAATCTTTTTGACCTAGATGTGTATCGATTTCAGCAATGAGTTTTTCTTGAATATCAAGTTTCTTAGCTAGAATATATGTACAATATGCCAATGTAGTCGATGTTGTTTCATAACCAGCGATCATGAAAATAAGAATATTGCCAGTGATTTCATCGGGATGCAAAATTTTTTGTTCTGTATCTTCTTCCATATTTTCCTATGAAAATTGAATAAAACAATTCTTTTTTTTTTTTTATTTTTCAATTAGTAACACTAGACGAACCAGTTTATCTTTCTCATCGGGTATTTGTGCGTCAATCATAAGTTGTAACAAATCAACATGTTTCTTTTCAGATGCATGTACTTTACGGTAATCAACTATTTCTTGAGCTCGATTAATAATCCAAAATGGAGCTAATTCTTCCATAAAATAGTTCATAAATGGAATTATCTTGCCAAGTATTCGAATTATTTTTAGTTGACAAAGAAAGAAAATTATAAGAAATGGTTTGAGAAATGGCATCAAATTACTCAATTGAACAATAAATAATTTATCATAATTAATATCTACTACTTTAGCTGATTTTTTCAAGTAAATATTATCAATATTATTTTGCATATCACTTTCAATGCCGAATCCTGCACGCCCTAGAAAATAATTCAAGTCAGTTTTGCAGAAAAAAAGGTGTATATATCATTGATCCATTTTTTAATACGAAGAACATTTTTTTTTGTCTACTCACAAATAATATCCATTGTCATACGTTTGTACATATCATTAATGTTAAACTCTTCATTGTTTTCATTAAGAATCGATAATTTATTCATTAGTATTTCAATACATTGGTTGACAACGGGTAACATAAGCTTCATTTTACCGAGCGAAAATGTTCGATTGACAATATGTCTTTGACGTCGCCATGTAGTTCCTGATGCTCCGAATAGAGTTTCAGGTGTTCCAGCACCCATACGTGCCAAAAATAGTACACGACGTGAATGAAACGAAGAAAATTGTTTGATGAAAACTTCATGAAGAAAATCAACATCAGATGCAACATATAAAGGTCGAGTACCCTCATATAATCCATATATCGATCCATATTTACGTGTCCATTCTTGTAATTGTTTCGAATATCTTTTCGATGCCCATAATGTTTTCAAATGGCCAAAGAAAAATTGATGTGGAGGTCCTGGTATATTACGAAGCTTAAAATAGTTATAACTATTGTTAATTGTCCACAGATATGTTCCTAACAAACATAGAAGACACGCACACAGACAAGCGGTTAGAATCATGCTTCTATAGTTTATAGAATAAAAAGAAATGAAAAGAAACTCCTTCTTTGATAAGGTTATTTTTTCTTCTTTATGAAAAATACCGATATGCATTTATCTTTGAAGAAAAAAAAACATTATCTATCGGACCATTGTCGTACATTTACTAATATGAATCATTGCTAAGTTTCATAGATATTTACAATTATTTGAAAAAGTATTCAGACTCCTAAAAGTTTTTCGTATTTTTCCATTTTGTGGAGTAAAAACGAGAGATAAAACTTTTCTGTTTGCATGGTTTCTGAGAAAGACCAATAATTTTCATGAGGTGAACTTCTGCAGAAAGAATCATTCTCGCAAACAAGTTTAGTCTTACGATCTGAGAGGGAACTTATTATCGATTTTTTTTCCAACTCTAATTTCCAAATATATCATTAGAAAGTTCATTATAGTCTGCATCAAATCAGGTAGTTTGAGAAACGAGCATCTATGTTTGAATAACAGAAGAGTATTTTTCTGAATGAATTGAATAAAAACAGGCATTTTCATTAAAAAAATTGCCATAATTTCAGTTTTTTGAGTGATTATAAGTATAACTGCTGAATGTAGCATTCTGCGATAGATAGGAGTTGAATCTTTATTCGAGTATTAACTGGTAATTGTTTTCATCAACTCAATTATTCAAGTCAGAAAGTTGCTATTGAATATATTTTATTGTTCTTCAGAAGTATTTTTTTTTAATGATAACATGTGCATCTCTGTGATTGTCTGAAAATCAACGAGTTTTTGAATGACTTTGTGAAGACTGTGTTGGTTCGTCACGTTTGTTTTTTAAATAAATCTAAATTATACATCACTTAGTAATGGATGGCTTCGTTCAAACAGATCACAAAGTGTGTATACCATGATCATCATTTGAAACAAACTTGAGTAGAAGGATACCTAACAAGCATATCTTGGGTATAAAAAATATCTAAAGAATGGTGTGACTGTGGATGTGAAGTTTTCCTACCGAGTCACACTCACGTTCGAATTTGAGAATTCTATATTTATGAGATTCAAATGCAAGTTCGTTCTCAGGTCTGCCTCGATAGTTGCTACTCTCACAGTAACAGTCAATTAAGTCAATATCTGGGTACGTTCATCGCCAAGATGGCCTGAAAAATGTATAGAGCATGCTGCTTGCTGAATCTAAGTAAACGAGAGAAACATCTCTTAGATTTGGAACGACTGTATAGAGGCATTAAAAAATTTTATTGAGCATATTATGAGTATAGATCGAACCCAAAGATGTTTAATCAACCAATTTAGGGTCCAAGCTCGATTTCGAACAAAGTTATTGAACTAGATCCGAGTCGAAACAGAGTTCGAAATGAATACAATAATTTGCGTTTAGCTTTGGGTCGAAAAATTCTTGATCTGATGAATTTTAATATCTTCTTCAGCGTACACCGGCACCTGAACTCGGTAAACAGGATATTTTCAGATTCGAACGTGCTCAGGCCCAATTGAATCTGGGTAAGGTTGAGTACGGTTCAAGAGGAAATATTCCCACCCGCACATCAGGCTCTCATACTCTATGTACGCGATGGTACAGGGGTGTGACGCCGAAGAATGCATGTGCAAGGAAGTGTCGTGTCATGATTTATTGTTTTTAAGCTTTACGTTTTCGATATTTTTCGTTTCTATATTTGTCTATCATAAATAGAAAAATAATCAAAATTTAAGAGATTTGTAATTTAGTTAAATAATTGACTAAGCAATTACAAATTCTTAACAATACCAATCTATTTTTTTCATTAACGTCATGAAATACTCATAAGAGTTCTAGTACTAAAAAAGAAATGTCACTTAAATAAATGGAACAACAAAAGATTATTCATTTATTTATACACACGATTTTGGCCACTAAAAAACACGAATACGCTTTTATTTTTAATCGATAGAAACAATTTTAGCTACTATGTACAAGATGTTCCGATTAAAAACATTATTGATCGAAGATATACTGTACATCCAGATTGACGGTATATTAAAGAAAAATCAAATGGATTTTACAATAAGTTGCATTATTTATCGATTAAAGGAAATAAGTTTAAAGAAGACAAAACTCTGGACATCATATATACTATCAATCAAGTCAATATTAATTAGTGGACGTTTTAGTTTTGTTTCTATGTAAAAATAAATAACGAATTTGTCTGTTGATGACCAGATTCAATAGAGACATAATGTTTTTCCATTTGGTTTTTTCTCGTCTACGTATACAAACGATAGCAGAAGGTTGATCATTAAATCCATATAATATCATCATTGCATTCATGCTGATCGATTGTCATCTAGAAGAAATATTTTGTTCAAATGAGAGAAAAAAAACGAGTAAGATGAAATAAAACCTGCTCAGTAGGTTGACATTGTTCTTCAATCATTAAATTTTCTTCATCATGATGTATTAAAAATGAATCATGTTCACAATAAGAAACAATTGTATCCGAATGTTTATTAATTAGATATTGTAAAACTTTATCTTGGACTAGATTAGCATCGTATTTATCTATTGGATCATGATGCATATCAAAATCATATTCATAAAGTTGAGCAAGTTCATCATAAGTGAAATGACGAGCAAGTTGTTTAGCATCAACTACACCTACAATGAAATTGAGAAAAATTAGTTTTAGAATAAAATATAAAAGTTAACTAACGGTGGAACATGGCTTGTTTGGTTATTTGTCGTTTATAAATTTTTTCTTCCATTGTACCTTTGACAATTAGACCTAATTAAATAAACAACGACATATTTATTTTATTGTCTTTGATTTTTATGAACGGTCTAAACTTTGCTAAAATAACAATATTTGTCATGGATCAATTTTTCGTGACCCGACTCGACCCGAGGTCGAAGGTATTTTTTATCAAGAAAAACGAGTTCTTTTTTTTTACAGATTAACAATCTTTTCAGTGTATCTGTACAAACGCTTTCAATATTCAAAACAAAGAAATCATTACCTCATCTCAATTTGCCGTTTGTTTCATAAAAAGTTCGAAATCAGTCAACTGTTAGCGACCCGATCCGACCCGAGTCGAATACTGTAATATAAAACTTTCGTCAACAATGCAAATTTTATTGATGAAAATTGTAAAAGCTTGTTTTTAATAAAAATAAATAAAATACTTACGATAGATATAGACGGGCTTTACTTGACCAAGACGATATGAACGAAACATAGCTTGAAGATCATGAGCTAAATATGAAGTTAAACATAGAGATTTGAATATTTTTTTTTTGTTTTAATTTTATCTAACACATACCTGGATTCCAACTAGTATCCAAGATAATAACACGATTAGCAGAAAAAAGATTTATTCCTAAACCACCAGCAGTTGTTGAGATTAAAAATAGACGACTACGCGTATTATTAGCATCATTGAATAATTTTATGTTAGCTGCCCTATGTTTTATAGCAACTTGACCTAAAAAGAAAAAAACAAATTTCATGTTCGTTTTACTAATAGATTTGATGAAAATAACCATCTATTCGAAAGTAATCAATATCTTTTTGCCATTTGGACGATGGAGATTGTTCACTCCAATAAGCAAGACATTGTTCAAGATAATCAAGAGCAATTAAACTTCGAGTAAAAACAAGTAATTTGTCACCAATTGATTCACATTCATCCAAAATTGCTTTCAATATAACAATTTTTCCCGATAATTGAAACTATAAATAATAATAATAATAACAAAACTAAACAAATCAAATATATTTTTTTTCATTATGTTAAATTTACATCGAATTGCGAATTGCTTGGATCGAACATGTTGAACCACCATTGTTGTTTTATCGCATTGGATAGATTTTCTTGATAATTTTGATTGAGTATGTTTGTATGTGGTAAAGATAATATATTTTGTGTCGATGATATTTCATTGATTCGATCATCTTCATCATCAGAATCATCATCATCATCATCGAAAATGTGTTCAACGGGAGTTTGTTTTCCATTTTTTGTTTTTTTATTATAATATCCAGTGAAGTAAGGTTGAAGAAGCCATGGATGCTATTTATAAATAAACAAAAAAAGAATTTCAATAATAATTATTAAGAAGAGAAAAAAAGAATTTCAACGAACTGTCCAAATCTTCATCAAATATTGATAATCACTAAACAATTTAGCCACTTCTATATATAACATTAAAAAAAGTAAAAATTTATATTTATTTAACTATATAAGATATTTACTAAGATTATCATTGAAAGAATTCATTCGATGATAATTTATATATGTTTCATAAAGTGTTCGTTGCATTGGTCGACATTTTATTTTAACAGCTTGAAATATAAATAAATATTTTTATTTGAAAATAAAATTCAATTATTTTTTATTACCATATTCAAACTTTGGTGGTAAATATGTACGTAAAACTTCAAAACCTCGTCGATGTATGATATTCTTTAAAAGTGTATTAAGATCAGACACTCGACTTCGCATTGTTTTAACTTGATATGGTAAACTATCTCGGTGTTGACCAGCTTCGATCGGTTTACGAAATAGATAAGAAAACTCACGTTCTGTACCTTAAATAGAAATTTCTTTAGTAATTTTGATTCTATTCAAGAAATAATTAAACTTACCAAGAAAATTTGGTTTACAAAAATTAACCATAGAAAAATATTCTTTCAAATTATTTTGCATTGGTGTACCCGTTAAAACAATACGACGACGTGTTCGTACTTTAGCCAATGTACAAGCAATGGCACTTCGTGGATTTTTACTAAAATTAATAATAAAAAAATAAATAAAATAAAAAAAAACATTTTTAATAAAACTTACATGATATGTCCTTCATCACAAATGATTAGATCAGGACCTGGATTACGTAGATATTTTCCTTGAAAGAAAAAGATAAATAAAATAATTATTTTGCTATTAAATAAATAATTCTATACTATATTTATCAATATTTATTTGTTCAATCAATGATGGCATTTTCTTATCCTGTTTTAAAATATTTCTAATTTGATCATCAGGCTTATCATCACTTGTAAAAGTTAATTGACGATACATTTCATAACCCATTAATAGAACTCCACCATTTTCATACCACTAACAAAAAAATTTAAAAAAATCTATTTAATAAATAATAAATAATGATAAATAAATACTAACGAAACGAAGGAAATCTTCTCGTTTTTCTGTTCGAATATCATCATTATTGAATAAATACACATTTATAGTTGGCTCAAGATCCTTTAACCAATCATGAAATTCATGTTTCCAACTAGATGAAAGTATTTCAATTGAAAATAGATTTTCTTTTTTTTTTAATAAAACGAGGTTAATCATACTTAATACTAGTGTTAATTGGACATAAAATAAGTATTCGACGAACATGTGTCAAAATGGAATATCGTAAAAGTGTATGAACAAGTACAATAGTAGTAAATGTCTTTCCTAAACCCATACAATGAGCTAGAATAGCACCTGAACCACCTTGATCAATTTGAGTTCGATTATCAATACTAGATGCAATTCGACTTGTTGATTCAAATACTTGATTCCATAAAAATTTAACACCCTCAACTAAATCCGATAATGATTATTAGGAAAACTTCAGATCAGATATTGATTTATTACTTTGATGAGGTTTCATATGAATAACAAGTAATAAAGCTACTTCAATAATAATATCATTTGTTTCTGGATTTGTTTCAAGAACTAATTCAAATTCCATGCTTTGTTCTTGTCGATAAGCATCAAGTAAATCACCATTATACAACTGTTGTTTTTGAGCACGTTCAATACGAGCCAGTTCTTCACGATCTTGTTGCAACTTTATACGTTGATCACGTTCTATTTGTTCTTTTACTACTTGTTTCGATTTTCTATCCCAATATTCATTGAGAATTTTTTCTAAATAGGAAAAAACAATGATATATATATACATGGCAGCGTCCAAACTGAGATTACGTCCAATCTCAGATTGGTCTAGGCGAATGTCGGATTCAGGCTTTCCGATTAGGGGGAATAGGGGGCGGGGAGGCTATCCCTCCAAATTGTCTGTGTGTCTGCCAAATTTTTACGGTTGCTGAGAGAAATGACCGATTGTATGGAAGCGCGAGGCGGGGATACGGTATGACCTAGTGAAAACTGGTGCCATTTCTCCTCCCCCTCGGCCAAGAGTTTTCACGCCAGAAAAATGAGAACATTGTCTGCCAAAATTTTAGCTCCCCCCCACTCCTAAAAACAATCGATAACCCTGGTCGGATCCGATATTGAACGCGTCCAATCTCGGATTGACGCAATGCTGTTCACTAAAATATCAATTACCCTTTCAATAGATGTTGGATTTGAACTATTTTTTGAAATTGTGTTCGCACAATGCCGTTTTAAGTATTAAAAGCATTTAGGAAGAAGCTAAATTTAGACTCAAACATTTAATAAAAGTTTTTCACAAAAACTGTTGTTCTCTAGAAATTTATTCATAACTTCTAAAATTTTACTCAAATCTGTCAAATGACAATTGTGCCAAACAGTGGCGTAGCCAGGAATTTTTGAGTCATAGACAATTGATCAGCCGAACTATTTTGAGTTACGGGCAGCTAAGAGCAACCGTTATGATTTCAAAAATATCTATGGGCAATAACTTTTGGAGCTATGGGCAATTGCCCAATGGCTCTACCCCTGACTACGCCACTGGTGCCAAACAAACTGGCATTGTGTGAACATAACTCAAGAAAAACAATTCGAATCCAACGTCTACCTAGAGAGTAATTGTTATTTTAGTGAACAGAATTGCGTCCATCCGAGACTGGACGCGTCCAATCTCGGATCTGACATTCACCTAGATCAATCTGAAATTGGACGTAATCTCAGTTTGGACGTTGACATATATATATATATGTATCTGTATATGGAAAGAATATTTGTACCTTCAAGTGTCCTTTTATAAGATTTTTTCTTCATTCTATTCGTTCGGATGATATTCGACGAATTTCGACTAGACATTTTTCTCGTTTTGGTAACAGGTTCGATTTGTACCCACTGATCGTTATCCACACTATGCGACAACACTATCGTTATAGGTGATCGTGCTTGTTTCATTATTGTATTGTTTTTCGCTGTGGTCGATTGATTAGATAATCTACAAGATATCACTGAACTCAAAACAGTCCTTTAATTTAATCATACACTCAAATAAAAAAAAATGATCTGATTCAAATAACAGATATTCGCCTTTTATTTAATAGTTAGATGTCAGTTTTCGATAAATAAGAGAATGAGATTAAAACTTTTAGTAGTCTTTATGAAGAATAAGGGATCTTCGCTATATATATTACATGATTAGGAATATAACAATTCAAATTCAAATTTAAGCATTAGGAAAAAATTGAAGTCTAAGAAACGGAATTGATGCATGTTCATATATAATACATATCTGAGGACCTTTGGAGTTAGATCAAAGATGTTTTTTTATTTTTAAAGACCAATTTCATATTAGTGTAAATGAATATAAAATTCAAAATAGTAAACGAACATGTTCAACTATTATTCGTTCATGGTCAATCAATGTCTAAGTAACTTTTAAATAATATTAATTTATATTGTTATGTTTAAAATAATCATTATGGTTTAAAAGTATACGAGTTGGAATATTTAGTTTAGGTTAATAATGAACAGATAAAGATTGAAAATTTTCAAAAAAGAAAATATACTATAGAAAACTGTATATACTTTGAGGTTAAATATGTTTTCAATTATAGTTAAGAGAAACTTACGAATGATTCAATTGATTTGTTCTAGATATAGTCCGATCGAATTGTTGAGTTTTCATAGAATACATAGGAATCGTTCGATGATCAAGCATCATTTCGTATTATAATCAACTTCGTTGATCTATTAGATATAAATTATCAAAGTTTTAATTATGAAATAAAAAGATAATCTTTAGCTAGTATCACTTAAAAATAAGCTTTATCCTATTTAGCATGATTTTTGAAGAACAGTTGAATTTTATATATGGATTAATAATCGTAGAAGACTATCGACGCGTACTTTATAGATAATGAACCAGATACGTTACGCCATTCCTAAGCTTTCGATTCCATCGATTTATACTAGACTTCCGATATAGAAAAATTTGACACAGTCAAACTTAAGCGATATTGTATCTAAGAAACAATAGAAAAATGATTTGCTTACGGCCTTTTGAGATCAGCTGATCGTCGTGATTATTTGCGGAAGAATGTATTAAGAATTGTAGTTTAGAATAGCTTTAACTTATATGGAGTCAATTATAAAAATCAAGTTTATGAATTCAAGCAAACAATTTTGGAAAGACTATTTATGGTCTTCGAGTATAAAAATGACTGATTTTTTCAATTTGGGTAAAACTAAAAAATTTAGTTTCATGTTGGTAACTTCCAAAATATGCCTCATAGATATGGTAGGAAGAAAAGAAAGAAAAACAAAAATATGTAATAAACTTTGTTTTTTTTTCTGCACATGCGGAGGCAACCTTTAGGAGGACGATGAATCGTTGTATTTATATTAGTCATAGAATAAATAATACCTACTCATGGCTTTAAAATCGTCTAAATTTTTCAAATTAATTATTATTATAGAAAAACCAGAGATTCTTCGAATATTTTCAGAAATTACTATTCCTCGATGATTATTTCAAGACAAGTGATCTAGGACGTATTTTGGAAGGTTGAATATAGCTACGGGATGGCTTTCTAGTTAGTATGGAAGGACAGAAAAAAAGTCACTAATCCTCATCTGCATCCATACTGTCGTTCGCGTTTTTATTTTCGAACAAATTTTGAATTACATATCTTTCTTGCATGTATTTTTACCAATGAAATCTAGTAGAATGTGTTGCAACATCAGTATACATAGATGCGTTTTACGCACAGAAGAATGAGGAGCTGTAAGTTATCGGAAAGACAATAGATTGCAATTGTACCTGATGATTATGTTTGCACAAAACATTTTCTTGAGTTTTATTTCAGTCTCATTTAAGAACATATATAGCTATATGGAACCAATGTTTTACACTAGCTTTTCTTGTTTTTGGCATTGAGCTAAGCAAGACTGATGAAGCCTACATATTACTTGTTTTCATTAGAATTCCAAAATTGGCGTAAACTATACATTTTCATTTTGTCTATGAATATGAAAGTTTCTTCTAAGAGTGAAGCATCATAACGTCAATGAATTCGAGAGAACGGAAAAACCGTATTTATTTTGCTTTTTTTTTTCTTTAAAACTTTCTACTCGTATCTAATACCGTGTGCTTGACTCATACACGATGACATTCTTTTTAATGAATACTTGTTCCTGTACTTCCGAGTGTAAAGGAAGTAGGAAGAAGCTCGAATTATTGAAAAACTATTTTTTGGGTCAGAAATAGCAATCTAATACAATGAATCA